CTCTCTGTCAAACCGGGTAAAAATACCATCTTGTTACAGAAAAATTTCCTTTACTTTTCACATAAGCAACTGGTATAGATGCCACAGGGATGTCATGCTAACATGACTTGGAGTGAGCAGGATCTGTGCAGTGATGGACCAGAACAGAGAGGAGATACGAGACAAGTCTGTCAAGTTCTGAGCCACACCATGAGAAACTTTACGGGCCTTTAATCTAACTCAGCATCCACTGCCAGGAGAATTCCCTCTCAAGTCTCATCCTGAGAGCATGTTTGAGTTTTAAACTCTAAGCACCCAAGGACTCACTTTGGTGACTTGAGGTCTCGGTGGATGATTTTATGGAGGTGTAAATAATTCATTCCACTGGCAATCCCTGTGGACCAGTCCACCAGCAGCCGAGGCGTGACTTTCCGACCCGCTCGCAGCACTTCATATAGTTGCCCATGTGCACAGTACTCCATGATGATGCAGTAACATGGGGCTTGAGTGCAAACTCCCCTAGCAGAGGAAACACACACATACATTGTATAAGTTAATAAAAAGGAAGTCCGATGCTGAGGATCAAAGGGAGTTGCAGAACTCAAAAAATACACCATTGTGACATGGTTGTCAGAGATGTCAAGTGCTCACAGCTTGCTTATGGTCATGGAAGCCAGCAACACTCAGCAGCTTTTGAAGTGAGACACTGAAGCCTAAATGGAGCACTGAGCTCCTCTGAGGCCAGAGGCCCTCTCCCAAAATGAGCTCCACCTCAGTCTCATGGCTTTTGTTTGAGATGCCCTGCATCTGTTAGCAATTTGCTTTAGATGCAAAGTCTGTAAGCCCTGGAGGATCCATCACAGTCCTAGGCTAAGTGGTTCCTGTGGTTAAAAACCTTCAGAATAACAATTTGCACCTTCATCTCTAGTCTTAACTCCACTTCATTTTCCAACCCTTGAAACTTACTCATGTTCTTCTGCTAGATCAGGGGTCCCAAACTGTGGTATGCATACCCCTGGGGGTATGCAAGACATCTCTGTGGGGGTATGCGGGAAAAATTGTGTAATGGCCGATTTAATTTGCATTATAATAGCGATTGGCATTTAAGGGGTTAAAACATAAAACATATGCTACTAGGGGTATGCAGGCAGCTGGTAAATTTGGAAGAGGGCACACAATAGGAAAAATTTGGGAATGTCTATGCTAGGTTAAAGACAGAAAGCCTCTTCCCCTATGTAGATACTGGGAGACAATGATTAAGCCATGAAGGAATTGTTTCTGCCCATCTCATGGTTTAACATTAACACTGTGTAAAGATCCTTCTCAAATAAAGTTCCATTAGCTTGGGAAGATCCTCAAGCACCATTTAGATTATTGAAGGAGTGAATTAAAACTTATAATGATTTTATATTATTCAGATCTTTGACTGCAGTGCGTGGTTTCCTTAGGGCAGTGGCTCTCAACCTTTCCAAGTCAGGGAACCCCTCCATTATTTTTCTGAACTGCCCCTGGTTAAGAACCACTGCTGGTGCTGCCTCAGGTTACCTCAGTGATTCTCAACCAGGTGCAGCTGCCTCCAGATAAAACTGCCCTGCTCCTGCTGCACAGCCAGCCCAGGGAAAGGTGGTGGTACACACCCTTCTGCACTGGGGCTCTGATCATCCCAAAGAAGGCAGGAGCTAGCTCAGCTGTAGCCCTTCCTGGTCTTCCCTATGGTATGCTCCTTCTGGAAAAAGAGGCACATGGGTGGAACTGTCCTGTTCTGGGATGGGGAGGGTGACAGATTGGGAAAAGCTACAGCCAAGCCAGCTCTGACTGCTTTAGGCTGGTCAGAGCCCTAATGCAGCAGGACTGCAAATGGCGCAGTTTTATCTGGCTGCTGCCATCGTGGCAGTACTCGCGTTGCAGCAGACCCTTGACGTCTTAGGACACGGATTAAGCGCATGTTCCGTACCGCACTCCAGATTGCAGCAATGTTCACTAGGAAATTACTGGCTTGCATCACAGAACAGCAAAGCCAGTTATACACAGCTTAGTGCTGTGTCTGCTCTGAGGAGCAAGCTTGTGCCAATTCTGTTCAGCCCTTTAAAGAGAAAGGGGCTTGGAAAAGGCTGACATCACTGGTCCTCTTGCCTTTATGTTTTACAATAAAATGGATTTAGATCCTGCCAACAGCAACATGATAACTTTGGATGGGAGCAATGTGCAGACTGCCTCACCTCTGTCCCCTAAAGCAGGATTTCCTACTCCCAATATGTGCTTTGGACAGCAGCAGCCATGCAGGTGGATTGGCTACATGCCTAAACCAACTCAGCACACCACCTGCTCCATCGCTTCATTAGCCAGGTCCCTCCTAGCTCTCATGATAACTTCACACAGAAAACCTGCACTTCTGGGTAGCAGCAGTGATGGAGAAAAGAAGAGGCCCCCTTTGGAGTGTTTCCCATTAAATCATACCTGTGCAACAAAGGGACAGTTGCTTAGATTCAGGCATGGGCTTAAGTACCTTGATGAAACAGGTTCTAAGTGATGGTGGACTTGAAAAAACAATTGTCCTTTCTAAGAGAGTCCCCAGTGCAGACCATTTCAGAAGGTCCATGAACTGCTGAGGACAAAGTATCCTGGAGCCAGCTAACAAATTTTCCAGACCTGTCTTAGCCAGGATGAGACCCAGAACCTATCCTAAGACAGAAAAGCTACAGTCCAGGAAGATTCCTGAGGTGCCCCTGGGAACTTTAAAACCCAAATAAGGGTTCAAGGTAATTATTTTTTAATTCTTTTTTACCCCAATTGGAAGACTGGATCCTTCCAAGTCAGTAAAGCAATGCTAGTGCATTGCTTGCATGCACTAGCAATGTGGTTAAAAAGCACATGGCTTGTATCTAGTGGGGGCTCTCCACAATGTTAAGAAAAGAATAAATCCTCAGTTAGAACTATTGGAGGAGATAGGATCAGGCAGATTCCTGAACTTGGGAACTCAAAACCTGGCCTGCTCTTGACACAGAGAGAAGTTATTTTGTGTCTAGAAAACACCTAGATCACAGAAGTCAGGACTTACTTGAAGGCGATGATGTTAGGGTGCTTCAGCTTCCGCAAGTGCTTGATGTCAGTCTCATTCTGGTCTCTCACCTTCTTGATAGCCACCTCCTCTGCCCGGAATTTGCCCAAAAAGACGGCTCCCTGTGCTCCGCTGCCCAACCACTGCAACTCCGAGATCTCCTCAAACGGGACTTCCCACGTATCTGGCAATGCACAGGAATGGGACATAGCTAAAAAGGTCTCCCAGGTCATGAAGGACTCTGCTGCAAGGTCACATCAGAGCCAGCAACTGCCTGCTCCCTTGTTCTCTCTCGTGAGACCAGCATCTTTTTGACAAGGCGCTGAACATCCTTGTGGACTGATGCTGCCTGATTTAAGGTCCCCTCTACCACATAATTCAGCAAGTGGCTCTACAACATTAGGAATCATACAATTATATCTAATTCAAACCCACATAGAAAGAAACATGCTTAATTTCAACAATGGGAAACATACATAAGAGTTTTGCTCCAAAAAAATGGGGATAAAGGTGGGGACTGAAAGGAAAATAATAAACATGGGGCCAGCAATGGGCAGCTTATAAAATCACCAGCCAAACAACTGTTCTGATCACAGCTGGAGCTGGTAAGTGACACAACCAAGCTAATCCAATCCATCATTCGATATCACCAACAAAGTGTTTTGAAGTACTTAGATCGTTCATATTTAGATGGTTCATGACCTGCTTAGGTTGCATCAGGCTGCTGAGTCCAAAAGGAGGCACACAGCTGTTGTAATGCTGCTTCTGCTTCAAAGAGTGCCAAAGGGTGCCATTTTCCTACCTCGTGGAGGCACCTCAGCTGTCTTGCACAGTTGTCTGCTAAATCTTTGTCTCCACCGGGGAAGAGAATCTAACCAAGTGAATTATCTGGGTTCCACTGTACCATCAGTGTAACACTGCCTGCATAATAAAACACCCGCATCTTCTCCTTCCCAAACATAAAGAAATGTGTATTTCACCATGATATAGCTGTCCAAAGACCCTAACCCACAAACTGTGCTTTGTTATGTGCTAATCTTATCAGCCTGATTTCAGTAAGTAATTTTTCTATGGGTGTATCATTAAATGGGAAATATCAGTTAATATACCATTCAACCAACAGTGAAACTTTTTGTCAAAATACCAGGAGTGGCCAATCATGAGAATAAAGTTGAATATGTCATTGAGCAAAGAAACTATAAGGAGCATTATTAATTTACAGAAACATTATTCATATATTTGAAAGTGATCAATACACACCATTCATTTGTGTGTAAATTTATCCTGAAAAGGAATTATGGATTGTGTGGACATTAAGTTTACTGATGAAAGTACAGTGTTTACTTTCATTCAACTCTAAGGCTATTATGCCATAATACATTACGCATTTCTTTACACTTGAGAAGAAAGTGTTTGCTATATAAAGAACAGAAGAGTTATTCTGTCCTTGCCTTTTTTATTTCCTTGTACTGAAGGACCTGATTTTGTAACCAATACAGTAGGTAACTAGGCTATGATCATTTAATAACCTTTGCTGTTTTTCAAAACTTCCTTTTACATCTTCTTTTGTTTCTTCTGTGATGGTAGAAAAACTTAAATAAACAGGATGTATAGGTAACAGTTGAGAGTCATTCAATACTTACTTGATGAGACAGACCCAGTCACGATGCGAACATCCTGCTTTTGCTCTAAAGGTACGTGGAGGCCAAAGGCTTGGGTTGCTGCACATTTCCTGGCCCTGCAGCTGTCAAATTCAGTGTTTGGGGTCCTTGGCTACCATGTAAAACTGCAGGGCCTGGGAAGGAATAACCAGGCTCCTGGTGGTGATGCTTCTTTTGCAGCAGCATCTTACCCTCACTCTGCTCCATGCAGCTGGAAGTTTGAGCCCGTCCCCCTGCCTCCATTCCAGCAGCCCAGGGCATGAACTCTTATCAGCTGCGCCTCGAGGGTGGGCATGAGTGGCACCTGAGCTTGGGCTTAACTTGCGGCATGCCTGCCAAAAAGGTTTACCATCCAAAGCACAGGTGGCCAAAAGGGTTCTGTCCTGTCCCGACTTCGATACCTAGAGACTGGCCCCAGAGGGATTTTCCCAGAAAACTATGCCCAGCTAAAAACAGGAGGCCAGCTGGAAAATGACATTTCCAACCATGGCATCTGTTACCTGCACATACTAAACACTCGCACAGAATAGCCTTAGCTAGCAGCCATGATAGAATCCACTGTGTGGAGATTAAAGTGACTCCTTTGGTGTCCAGGAAAAACTACTAAAGGAACAAAGCAGCAAACAAACCTTGGATCAACACGGAGTCTGATCCAGACTGAGCGACGCTACAGCAATAAAATAAAGAACGCAATAATAAGGAAGGAAAGTCACTGCAGGGCTCAGGGGTGGGATAAGACTTCTAAAGATGGTTTGCATCTGGTAAGATTTTGGCCTACAAGATCTAAGAACTACCAGGAATAGTCTGATTGAGTAAGCTTCAGTCTAACCATTAACCTTCATGCTTACCATGGAGCAACATGGAAAAACACACTCATATAAGTTTCACTGATGCAGCGAGACTTCCTCTGAAACCAAGGGGTTCTCAACGCCCCTCAGTGCTGCCATCATGCAGTGCTACCAGAGAGCACCAGGCTCAGCATGTAGAAGATGCTTCAAGCTTCACTTTTGACTGCACTGAATTTTCCTGATGTTGGCCCAAAACATCCCAGAGCAAAGAATGAGAGATAAAGACTCTGACGTAAACTGTGTCCTCCAAAGTACTTCTGGCAGGTACAGGCGAGGGTGATTTGAGCACTCCAGCATCTCAGTACCCTGCAATCCCTGCCGGGATCTCATTCCCCATTCTCAAACAACCCCATATCCACCAAGAAGCATGAGCAGATCCAGCATTAGACCACATTCACCTCCCTGCACAGGCAGTGCACAGCCAAAGTGCACTGTGATTGCTGGATCCACCCCTGCACAGAAGACTGACAAGAACCACCACATGCAGACAGGTCACCATACTGACCGCATGCTGTGAAATCTAAAGGCAGTATTTTGGGAGGGCGATGCCAGCACCACAGGATGTATGCCCGCACACAAGAGTGAAAGGCAAAGCCTTGTTCCAAGATACAGCACCGTGACGTGACAGGATGAGCACTGTTTCAGCCATTACATCAGGGCTGGGCAAAGGATCTGGCCGACAGTGGACTCCGTTTCCCAGCAGCTCCTGCCTGCATAGCTGGGCCCAGTCTCCATGGAGACCCCAGCCACAACTGCACCATGGCAGCACAAGGCTGGGGTTGCCATGGAAACCAACCCCAGCCAAGCTGGCAGGGCGCACACCAGGGCAGGGCAGGGGGTGCTCCAGAGCTGCTGGGATCTTGCAGCAGGGGCAGCTTGGTTTGGGAGCCACAATCTGCACCCGGCACACTCTGGGCAGGTGTGCATGGGCAGCAGATTGTGGCTCTGCCCCAGCTCAGAAGCAGGCTGTCACCACTGCAAGGTGGTGCGCCCCTGCCCAGAGCATCCAGGCTGAAGATTGCAGCTCTGCCCTGGCCCCAGACCAAGCTGCCCCCACTGCAAGATCCCAGCAGCTCCGGAGCAGGCCCCCCCCCGCTGCCCTGCCACACATCCTGCCAGCATGGCTAGGGGCGGTCTCCATGGCAACCCCACTCTTGCGCTATCACAGCAGCTGCAGCTACGTTCTTCATGGAGCCTGGCCCCAGCCATGCAGGCAGGGGCTGCTGAGAAACGGCATCCAACTGCTGGCCAGATCCACCATTTTGCCCACCCCTGTCCTACATCCAGAGCTCGCTACTATTCTCCTGGCACCTAACAAGCAGGATTTAATTTAAACTTCTTCACCCAGGAGCACAGGTAGGGTTGGTGGCACTCTCTGCCAGGATGTAGCAGACTTCCTGATACTTCTGGGTGTAAGCACACACAGGGAAGAAATTTTCTCCATACAACTGGAGGATTGTGGAAGCAGAGTTAAAATATATTGAGAACTTGCATGTGTGAGCGATTAAGGACCATCTGGGCAGAAAGACAGTAATCTCTCCCCCACAGAAAGGTAATACTGGAGCAGACAACTAGATTGGTTCAGTGGCTTAGCTTTCCAGAAACAAATTGTTGCTGTGAGATGATGTTGGCCTTAAGACCAGGATTACGCATCGTTCACAGAAAAACAAAACAGAATTATCAAATGCAGCACTCTCAGGGGTCAGGCAGAAGAGAAAGCACAGCAGTGGTAGTGCATGATTTATAACTAGGACATTAAAAAGAACTTTTGGAAAAAGGATTTGAAGTCCAGTGTGAACTGCTCCTTGATCCAACTAGCCTACAGTGACCCTAAAAATGTCACGCAAGCCTTGCCTCATCCACTAAGGTTTCAGTTGAGCTCTAAGCTCTGGCAGACAAAAAATATATAACAATAACAACAACAACAACAATAATAGCAAGGAAGACATTCTGGAAGACAGTTTTTTGGGTAAATGTGATATCTTTTATTAGACCAACTAAATAACAATTTGTCCAGCTATTTAATTGGTCTAATAAAAGATATCACATTTACTCAAAGAACATTGTCTGCCTATGTCCTTAGACCAACACGGCTACAACCAACACCCCAGGAAGAAATTCTAGAGCTGAGGACACCTACCTGGAAATACCCTGCATTCACAGCCTATTTTTCTTTAATCCTCTCCTTCTTAGGCAGCTCAAGCCTTTAAACTGCAGCTGGCAGTCTCATGCACAAGCAGATGCAGTGCTGAGGATCCAACCTACTTAGGGCTTTGTGGGTCAAAACCGGCATTTTAAACTTGGTCAAGAAAAATCAACTGACAGCAAATGCAGAGCAGGAAGCACATGTCATGTTCCTTGCAGGAAGCAGGATGTAATAAAAGAGTAAGCCATGTTGCATCAACTTAGATTTCCAAATAGGCTGTAGCTCCATGTAGAGCACCCTGCAGTAATCCAACCTCCAGCTGATCACGACATGCGCCACTGAAGAGAGAAAAGGATGCAACTTCCTTGCCCAGCAGAGGTGCTAACAGCAATCCTGGCAGCTGCTGTTATTTAATAAATATGGAGGGACCACCTAGGATATTTGAGTGTCTGCTTATATGCTGCCCTTTCCAATACAGGCTTTGGTGGCTTACAGCAAGAAAAACAAAACAACTTAAGAGGACAACTAGAATAAATAAAATAAAGCAGAACCCCACTAAACAGTATTTTGGCCTAGTTCTGCTTGCTAAATGCCTGCCCGAGCAGAAAGGGCTTGCAGTGCTTCTGAAAGATGTCAAGACTCAAGCTCTGTGGACATGGCGTACTGATGGTACTCGCAGGAGGTTGCTTCCAGCTGGCCTGAGGGATTGTGATGGGGCACAGGGGAGAAGGCAGGAGAAGATGGGGAGAGAGGGGAGAAGTTGTGCTTCTTAGCAATACATGGTGAGCATAAGGGGGATAGCATCCTAATATAGGTGCTGTAAAGGAAGCCCTGAACCCCAGCCAATTTGGGTCAACCAGTTTGAAGATGAAGTCTTTGCCTTTTCTGGATGCAAACACAAAGGAGAAGGTTCTTGGGCATGAGCACAGAGATGCTGTTTCCATACTGGGTAGATGAGCCTCCATTTGCCCCCCAGAGAAACTGTTACAGTACTAAAGCATGTCAAGCATTGTATGAAATGCAAAGGATGCAGCTGCGTGAGCCAATAGCAATTCCAGCGTGAAGCAGCATTCTGACTTGGTGTCACCCTAATTCCCATAGGGTCTAATGCAGGAGTGTCAGACTCATCCTGGTACCTCCCCGCCCCCCCAGAAGCTGGATCTGAACCATGGGGTCCCTTATGGGCTGGATCCAGACATGAGTGGGGCAAGTGGATGGGGTTCATGGAGTCATCCCTCACCTGCTGGCACCGATATGCATGCCCCATGGGGCTCTGCGCCCCAGATTTAGGCAGCAAGCTCTACCTCCTAATTCCTGGCCCTTTACCAGCCCTGCAGGCCACACGATATGACTCCATAGGCTGGATCCAGCCCGTGGCCTGCAATTTTGATACTCTTGGTCTGATGTCCAAACAGCCACAAACTCAAAAAGCTCTTAAATACTGTACTGCTGCTGGGACAGAAAAGCCACTGAACTAGATTCCCAGTTCCTTTCACATTTCAAAGCATACCTTGCCCATAAAGATGCAGCAAATAGGAGAGTGGATAGGCCAACATGGTAGATGGTACCTAAGCTTTCGGGTAGTCCTACTGAAATGGCAAGACTCAAGCTCCATAGCTTCCAAAATCAGACATTGTAAATCACGCTGCAGCACTTCAAACATCAGAGATTCATGGAAAGGATGGAAGAGAACAGCTCTTGGTGACAGCTGCTAGTGCCTAACCTTTCCCCAGGCTGTTTTCTGGAAGGTAAGTGGCTTGGGGAGATCCCGAAAGATCAATTCTGTCTAGCAGCAGGCAGTAAAAAAGCTGCTGAGACAACAAAAGGCCCAAATACTAGCTGCATGCAGATGACACACAGCCCATCTCCCACTCACTACTTATGGCCATGCCACTACTACCAAGATACCTCAGATGAGACAAGCTCTTGAATGAAAAACAGTTGGCAAGCAATTCAATCTGGAATTAATGGGGCCTGGGGCATTCTTCACTGACTCTAAGGCCACTGACGGGTATTCATTTAAAGGGGCAATGGGATCTGACCCTGGCCCCAACAACCATGCCTCCTGCCAGGTCACATATGTATGGCGGGACATGTGATTCTGGGATCAGGGATCGGATCCCAGTCACATCATACTTGGCAGTTCAGGGGGAGCCTGGGATTGTGATCCTAGGCACCCCCTGCACCAGCAAGTTGAAAGCCAGGTGTCCAACAATCAGGTGATGATCACCTCAGCCAGGGAACTGCACTGGGGTGTCAAACCAGCCTCAGTGTGGGCCCCAGACCTAGCCAGGCAGAGTTGCCAAGCACAGGGTTAAGAGTCCCCCTCCACGCTGGGCTGCTCAGCCAGAGTGTCCCGGCACAGGGTTTAAAGTCCCTGGAGGAGAGAAACCTCTTCTCCCCCCACCGTTAGGAGCTTTTGCTCTCCTACGCTAGGCTGCTCAGCTAATGGTGCCCAGAGCAGGGTTTAAAGTCCCCCCCTTCTCCCAGCTTGCAGTAGGGCGAACAATCAGCAGAAAGCTGTAGCCTAAAGCAGGCACATCAAACCAGACTTTCACCCGACTCTGCCTTACAGGGTCGCTTACAGTTTCTGCAGGCTTGGCCCCTGTCTTACATCCTTTTTGTTACTCTGGTTCCTCACAGGGCACTGTATTGAGCTCCTGGTCTCCAGTCCTATGGTCCCGGGTATCTAAAAGAATAAAGACCAGGATCAACAGCTTCACTCCTCTAGCAGAATAGAGCTCTCTGCAATGAGGGGAAAGCTTGTTGATGCCTGAGATCAATCTTTTTGGGGTTGTGGTGAAACCATGAAACAAACTCACCAGGATCTAAAAAAAATCCCTTCCCAGCTTTTACTCTGAGTGCCAGAGTACATTTCTTTTAACTTCCCTTCTCTAAAAAATACAGAGCTGCATGTCTACTTAAACAAACAATAACACCTAACAACCCCACAAGATCCCGAAACCAAACAAAAACCCTACTAAAACACCCCACTGAGCAAACCCACCCTAGCCCAATCCAGGACAGGAAGACAGAGAGACGAACACATTAGGTGTCAGTCACCACTATCATGAGCATGGTATAAAAACCTATTTTAAAAAAATCAGGATAGAATGGGGATGTTCCTACATATCCTTCAAACTCCAGTACAGAATCAGGTTGACCAGTTTTACCACCAGATAGAGAGAGGAATCTGCATCTCCTGGAAGTCCATATTTGAGACCTCAAAGACCTGGGATAATTCCAGCAAAATAGCTAGAAAGCTTGGGCTCTCTGCGGAGAAGGTAAGCTTTCTCCTTTTAATAAGATTACACACTGGATGCAGGCACACCTGATAAAAAGCACAGTTTGAATACAAACAGCACATGGCCAGGAAAGTGCCCACCAATACAACACGTATAAACACCAAGAAAGCAGAGAGTTGTATACTATGAGGGTTGGGAAGATTTAAGGAATGGCATAAGATTTGAAAAGGCAAGTGTTCCCAACTGCACAAGGTGTATGATAAGGCTGTTCAAGAGTCTCATGGAGAAGTGATGGAAACCCTGATGCTTCGCATGTTTAGCACTGGACTAGATATAACACTAGCATACACACTCAGTAGGGGAAAATCATGCATTCGGATTGCCTGGTATATGGTGTACTAGTAATTCAAAACTACTCTGAACCTTAAAGGAGTTCCCAAAAGGCTTCTCTAGCCTTTAGTAATTTAAATAATTGTCTCGGCCTCAGATTTTGCCCCAAGGATTCAACAGAGGCCAAGGGATATTAGTGGTCTTCTCTATCTCTAGCTCATACGATTCTACGCTGGCCATTCACTACATGGTGACTACCTGCTTCCTATGTAAAGCCTGCATGTTAGGTATGGAACAGTGTTAGGTAACGTCAAAAGGAAAGCTTGGAATAGGCTTTTAGTTGCTCTTAGTTTCCTCATTGGTGCAAACATCACTTAAAAAAATAACACAGGGAAGAAAGAATGCAAAATGCATTTTTGTTGCCCAGGCTCACCTTGCTGCTGTAGTTTGTAGTCAGTGGAGTACGCTTTCCCTATGATGTTCCACACAGGTCTCAAACACCCAAAAAGTCCCTCAAGAAACCCACCACTCCCACTGCCTGATCTGTTGAACTGGACTTTGATGTCATCCATCCCACCGTTGCTTTCTCCATCCATATTATTACTGTTGCCCTGAGGAACAGTGGTTTCAGATTCATCCTGTTCTCTCAGCTGCAGCACGCTGTTCTCAAATTGGTCCTTGGAGTCTTCACTGATGCTGGTCAACACTGCTGCCGTGACAGGACTGCTCATATTTTCTATTATATCTGCTGGAAGCAAGCCCTTTTCTCGCACATCATCTAGGATCTCAGGTGAAGAATGGTTTCCAGCAGGCACATGTTCACCATGTGTCCCACCAAAGTCTTTGTCTTCACTGAAAGGTTTGTTGATCATGCTTGGAGAGGAAGACCAGCTCAGGTGCTCCTGAGGATTGGCCATGGTGCCGTGAGTGTGCATGAAGCAGATAGTCCAAGTCGGTGCTTAGAGAAATAACAGCATGCAATTCAGATGCAACAAGTGGCCCCAACACCTGAAACGAGAGAAGAAGGGACAAGACATGACATTTTACCTTTGCTTTCTATTTTGATTTTCTATTTTATTTTTATTATATAGAATACCTTTTGTGCGCTCTTTTGTAACGATGACCTGATAAACAGATAACACTGGAGGCCCAATCATTGTTAGAAAATTACTGCAACTAATTAAAAAAAAAAATCAACATTTACACCCACTGAAGCTCAGCTCAGCACAGCTTCTATATAGTTGGTAGGGTTGGAAGGGACCTGAGTGGTCATCAAGTCCAACCCCCTGCCATGGCAGGAAGGAGTACTGGAGTCAAATGACCCCGACAAGGTGTTCATCCAGCCTCCTTTTAAAGATCCCCAGGGTAGGAGCCAGCACCACTTCTCTTGGATCATCAGCATAGTCTCCTCTGAGTCACCTACCATGAGACTTCCCCAGGTAACTGAGCAAAAGCTGAACTCCGATGCCTAGCTCTGTGACTACATGATTACAACCCTGGCTTAATATCCCTCTGTACAGACACATCCATGATAAAAGAATTTGACTGTTGGAGTCCCATACATGCGCATGCCTGCTGGGCCTGGCCAGAGTCTAGTCACTGGTCTGGTTTTCATAGATTTCATAGACATTAGGGCTGGAAGGGACCTCAGAAGATCATCGAGTCCAACTCCCCACCCAAAGAGCAGGAAGTCAGCTGGGGTCATAGGATCCCAGCAAGATAAGCA